TCCCGACTCTGCTCAGGAAGAGCGTGATATGGTCGTTTCGCTTGCGGCGGCTCGTCACAGCTACAGAACTTTTGGAGTTTCAAGGGTACAACATGTTCGGTGACCTTCAGCTTCGAACAAGCCTGCATCAGGCCTTGCAAGACGTGCCATCCACCAGCCGGACTAGTCTGGCCGGCAATGCTATGCACATTCAGTCCGTAGGATCCGTGCTGCTATTCACGATGGCGTGCACGATGCGTGCATGAGACGATCAGGCCGAGATTTTCTGTCGCTCTGCCAAAAAGCCCAGGGCGTGTGAATGTGAGCATCAACTTATCATCACATCAACCTTTCAACTTCAGGAGTGGGCTGCGGCTGCACCCAATATCGATCGAGAAGTGCATGTAGTTCAGGGTTTTCAACAGCCCAAACCCAAACCCACTCAACAAAATCCTGCACTACACCAGCTTCGAGGCTTCGGGGATCGCTGCTTGAGAGGTGGGATGATGGTGAGGGTCCGGCTACTGTAACGTTTGATGTTGGTGAAGGTGGTGGCGGTGGTTTGGCGTGGCGGTGATGCGAGGAGGTGGCGGGCGGTGCTAGAGGTGTAACGATGACTGTAAGGTATTTTCGGATCAAGCCACAACGTGTGGGATCAAACCACAGATGCACAAGTGATCCAAGAGTCTTCGAAACCGTGAAACCAAAAAAGCTTTAAAACATACTTTGCACACCGCACACCCACACCCTAAGCCCTGAACGTCCCAAATACCCTACACCACCCAACCCTGAACCCTAAAAACCTTAAACCACGGCTCAAACCAGGCTCAAACGGCTCAAACTGGCTCAAAGGCTCCCAGTCTTGGCTGCCAAGAAGCGAAATCGCAAGCCGTGACTCGAAAAGCGGTCAAATAATACACAAGCACTCAAAGGCCGCCAAACCCCCGTGGAGGGCACGTCTTGTAAGCATCCGCGAAATCTAGCACATCATGCATCACATGTGGGCCGAGGCGGGCAAGCAGTGGGCCACCCACATCGCGGTCCCGGCGCCCGCTGCCACGCCGGCCCCGGCAGCGGGGGCCCCTGGAGCGGTGGTGCCGGCCCTCCCCGGCGATAAGCCACCGAAGACGTTCCCGGAGGTGGGGGCCGCTGGTCAAGCGGTACACGGTCGCCGGCGAGCCTCGGGACTTCCCCACGACCCTCCTTCTTGGCGCAGAAGAGGTGCTGGCGCGCATTTACTTCGAGCACACCAAGTCCAAGGAGTACACGGCGGTCGGCTTGGGGGAGATCCTGCAGCGGCGCACCTTCACGGCGTCCATGGAGGTGAACCCGCTGGCGATCCGGCGCCACAAGGAGAGGGGCCCTCGGCGTGATCGACGGGGTCGAGGCGGTGCGCTGGGCTTGGACTCTCACCGGCGTGGCCACGGAGAAGGGGGCGGCGGAGTACGCCCAGTGGTGGACGTCCCGGGCCCGGCAGCTCCCAGTTGGAGGCGATCACGGAGTTGGGATGCATCCTCCCGGCGCCTGGCCATGCAGGTCACGGCAGAGATCATGAAGGACCAGGCGGCGTTCCTGGACATCCTCTCCCACCGCGGCCCCCGACAAGACCGACGGCCCGCCCGGCTCAGCGGCGCCCCCGGGGAACCAGCCGAGGCCGACCGCAGAAGTCGAAGAGGAACCAGCCGCCAGGGCCAGTCGCAAAACCAGAACCGCGGCGAAGAGAGACTTCCAGGCGCAGGACGGTGTCCCTGTTCGACGGCGTCGGGGCGGCGCCGGCCATCCTCGAGGACCTCTTCGGGACACCGATGGCGGCGATGGCCTGGGAGACGGACCGCGCCTGCCGGCGCTTGAGCCCCCGTGCCAAGATTTCTCCCAAATCGGCGCGGAGGCGGGCAGCCTGTTTCTGCGGTTCGTCCTGGAACTCCGGGCGGCGCTCCGTGGCTGGCGGGTCGGTCGGCTTCATGTTCGAGAATGTGGTGATGCAGCCGGCGTCGGCCAAGGAGGTGTCGGACCTGGTTTGCGCCTCCGATTTCGGGTGGATTTCGCGGCCGCGACTATGGTGGCTCTCGGCGGACCTCAGGCAGCACACTGAGGACCCGGCCACCGGCGCCCCATTGGCATGGACCGAAGGGACCATTCCACCGCCTCCGGCTGGAGGAGGCACGGGCGGCGGCGAGCACCATGCTCCCGAAGGGTATGGCCTTTCACCCGGCGGTGGCGTCAAGCAGGCTGCTCTTGCCTTGCGCCACCACGCCGGCAGAAGATGAGAACGGCCGCTCGGCGCCGAAGAGATAGGACAGGCAGGACGGCCGCTACCAGAACCCGGCGTCCCTCGACCAGCTGGCGGCGGCAACTGGGAGTACGTCCGGAGGCGCGCCTCAAGGGCCAAACCCGGCGAGCACTGGGAGACCCTGCTGCAGGAACTGGTGGCGGAAGTCAAGCTCGGCCGGGTTGTTGGGCCCACGTCCCCACCGGCGGGGTGGAACATTGTCACGGTACCGGTGCTCAACACACCCGGCGCCGACAGGCTGGTGTCGCCACCTCTCGGCCGGCACTTTGCGGCGTCCTTTGCCATTGTGCAGGAGGACGGCGAAGGGAATGTCAAGGTGCGTCGGGGAGAAGACTGGCGGCGCTCGGGACACAACTCCACGATCCTGGCGCATGATGTTCCCACCCACCACTTCGTCGACGACGTCGTGGATTTCATTCGGCGGGTGGTGGAACTTGCTGGGAGCCGTGGCGTCTCGGCGGCCAGGCTCTTCGGGCACGACCTGCTCAATGCCTACCGGCAGTGGGCCGTCCGGCACCCGGCACACTCGGGGACATTCCTGGCGACACCGGCGGGGCTGACACTATGGTTTCATCTGGCAATGTGTTTCGGCGCCGCGGCGTCGGTTTGGAATTTTAACAGGGCCGCGGACGCGCTGCAGGCGCTGACCCGCGTCCTGTTGTGGTTGGTCGGCGGCCATTTCGTGGATGACTTTAACGGCGTCGACCTCCCGGAGCTCGCGGAGTCCGCCTTCCACTCCCTGGCGGACCTCTTCCGCGAGCTCGGGTTGCAGACCAAACCGTCGAAGGCCCAGGAGCCGGCGGCCGGCCATGTGGTCCAGGGGGTGGAGATGACGATCGAGCCGACAAGGCGGCGCTCAAGCCGCTCTACTCTCGCGCTCATGACGCGGCGGCTGAGTCCTCCCCCGACCTGTCGGCGGGGTTGGCGGCGGCGCTTCGGGCACTCCGTCAGCTTCTTCCGAACATCCGGCCCCGGTTCGTGCCCTTCGTCGACGACGGCGCCCCGCAGGCCTTGATCTATGCGGACGCCTTCTTCCAGCCAGGCGAGGTCAAGCACAAGGCCGGCTTCCTGCCGGCGGGGTTGCCCACACCAAAAGGGGCCCGCGGCAGAAACGGATGGGGTATGTGGTCAGAGTCGGCGGCGAGACCTACTTCGACTACGGCCAGGCGCCGGCTTCATTCCTGGTGGCGTTTGGCTCCAGGCGAGCATTTATTTACGTGCTCGAGATTGTCGCCCAGGTCCTGGCGCTGACTACGTTGGCGCGCCGGCTGCCGGAACGGTGGCTGGCGTTCATTGACAATGTCGCCGGCCAGTGGGCCCTTACCAAGGGCTACGGCAAGGACCCCGCGGTCAATGGTGTCCTGGCGGCGTTCTGGTCCCAAGCCGCGGATATGGGTTGGCTCCCCGACTTCCGGCGGGTGCCTTCCAAAGCCAACGTGGCGGACGCGGTGTCCCGCGGCGACATCGCCACGGCAACAGCGATGGGATGGACCAGGGTCCGCACCCCGGCGGCTGAAATCTGCGCCATCCTCGCGAAGACCGCCGGCGACCTGGAGTAGCCGTTTGCTGAGAGACTTATGGGTCGTCCCCCGCCCACGGGCGGCGCGTCGGGTAGCTCAAAGCTTCCCCGGCGCCGGCCAGCCTAGTTTTGGGCGGAGGCGACGGACCCGGCGCGATGCGCTTTCATCCCATACAAAAGAAGGGAATGCCGTCGTCCTTCGTGCTAGCCTTTTCGGCGTTGTCCTAAACGTCGATAGCACATGTCCGAGAAAGCTCCTCCAAAAGCTATAATCTGCGCTGACACGAAGACACGCCCTATCTTTGTCCAGATTCGGCATTTGAATGCAAAGGGCCATTGGACCAGAAGCAACAGTGGATGGAGCAGAATAGTGTCGGCACAGATAGCTTGGCACAGGGGCTGTCAACGAGATCCGACTTCCAACTGGCGGGTGACTTTGCAAGACCCATCCAGCACACTAAGAGTGAGAGTCTTGAGATGAGGCAGATTCCAATGTCTTTGGCTGTGGCCCTGTCTTCTTAGCACACACGACTTTGCAACGCCGCCAAGACAAATATTAATATGTATGTTCTCGACTCAAACGAAATTAATTACCTTTGAAAACTTACGCTCTTGCCGCCTGCCCGGCCCCCTTGTCCCGCCTCTGTGGGATGATGCGGGATACAAGTTAGCGTGAGCTGTGCCGTGAGATTGCAGTCTGGTGTGTGCCGCTGTTGAGAGCTGTAAAACCAGTCGAGACCGAATCCACTAGCCCCGTAGCTTTCGTTGCCTGGCCCAGCCCCTCAAGTCTCTAATTACCTCGCCTGACGTGATCCATGTAAGCCAACAAAACTTGAGCGAAGTCTCCATGTCGGGCCTACCGAGGGAATACGCTCCACGAGAAAAAACGTGCAGCTGGTTCTGACAGTTTCGTATCCGCATACTTATTCGGTGAGCCGCACCTCAAGATGGACACATCGGAAGTCTGCTGAACAGTCATGTGTCCGTGCCAATTTGGAAGCATTGCCTGCAGTCTGGGATCTTGGTGTTTTTCTTCGATTCCGTCGGAACGTGTGTCGGCGTTTGAGGCATGTTTCTCGTTGGAAGTCTTGGGCCACGAGAATAGCCAATGAGTCTTCTTTAGACGGCACGCTCATGCATCTTCTCTCCAACACTGTCGCAAGAAGCTCCCCTGACCTGGAAGAAATCTGCACCTTCGTTTCGAATTGGCAGGCTCGATACAAGAAGCAGTTCGACAAACTGATTGCGCACCTTGATGCTGTGTTTTTGGCCGTGCACTCAGTTTTGGCTGACCCCATCAAGAAATACAGGTGGTTACGTTGTGTCCTCCTGCACTCTGTGAAGACATCCCTTTTGCGCGTGGACATGGGGATAAGCATATCCTCGCCCTATGGAGTTCATGAGGCAATATTCGTAAGTAGTCATGAAGTGTTGGCTGGTGGTTGTTTTAGATGGGTTTTAGCGCCTGTTCGTGATCTCGTTGCTAGGCTTCTCCTTGTGTGTAGATGGGGATTCAGATGTCTCACGTTCGAACTTCAAAGGGTAGTGGCTAGACTGTCCGGAATATATATATATATGTATATATATACATATACATATACATATATATATATATATATATATATGTATGTATGTATGTTTCGTAAACATCTTGCGGCGGCGTCTACTTGCGGAACGCACAAATCGCCTGCCAGTGCTATGTGCTTTGTTTGTAACATCTTCTGCGACGGCGTCTACTTGCAAAACTGTCGAACAGGCTGTCTGGAATGTGTGTTTTGTCATCGTTTTGGCGGCCGCATGTACTTGCAGAGAAGCGTGTTCTTGTGAAATCGTGCGTCTACTTGGGGAACAACGAGGTTGGTGGAGTGGATTTGTTTTGGGAGCGCCATGATATCACACCCGAGGGTATCGTTCGCCCCGACCAGGTATCGTTCAACCTGATGTAAAAGAGAGGGAGCGGGCGGTGCATCCCTCGCGCCAGCGGTTGCTTGTGAAATCGAGCGTGTACATGCGGAAGGGCTTCTTGTCGTGCGCTGTGATGCCAATGATGTGTGTCTTGAGCGGGTGCTTCGGAGATCGAGCGTGTAGTTGGGGAATGGCTGGTTGTGAAGTGCTGTGATTCTATTGCTGTTTCTGTTGAGTGGGTGCGCTTGAAATCGATCGTCTACATGTGGAACGGCTGGTTTTCCTCAAGTCTTCGTGCGCTATGATGCCAATGATGTGTGTCTTAAGCGGGCGCTTGTTACAAGATGTTACATGTCTGAAAGCGGGTGCACATGGTGATTAGCTGCCACCGGGACATAATTTCCAAAGAAAGCCTGTGCGTGGCCTTCGAAATCCTAAGTTGAAGTCTGCGCCAGGAATGTGCTAGGAAGCGCGTGGCCATGCGGAAAGCGATGTGCAGCCATGCTTGTGGTGTGACTTCCAACGCCCTAGTGTGACTTCCCGCGTGCCCGCGTGTCCATGCAATGGCGCGACTTCACACGCCCTCGGGCGACATAAAGTTACCTCTTGTACGATGTGATAGAATCGCACAACAAAAGCATTGCCACAGGCTTGTGTTGGCTCAGAAGAGCGCGAGTCGAATTGGTTGCAGCTGGGGCATGTCGGCAGCGGTCGTGTAGGATACAGCTTAAGAGTCAGGAATGCTGCATGGCCCAGTTGCGAACAGGAGGAAGGCCGTCAGTTTAGGGCCTGCGGCCCGGGGTTTTGGGGCTGCCTCCTTGTGGCAGACTCACCCTACGATTGTCCTTTTCAAAGCCTCCGCTTGCTCCTTGTCTACATGGCCCCGACATGGAATGCCATGAGGTTTCTGTGTCGGAGCTTTCATCACGACTGGTTGGCAAGGCATTGTCGGTGTTGCTGCATGGCGTATCAACAACTAAGTCGTCGTGCTCACAGAGATCGCATGAGGGCGTGGCACTGTAGCTGTGCGAAGGTGGAACACGCCCACGTTCGAGCACGATGGCACCAACTGCTGCTCGGACACAGTCGGGCATTGCGATTGTTGCTTGTCAGAGCTTGTAATGTCCCTCAAGCTGGAGCGAGGTGCAAATGGATCAGCGACTTCAAGAAAACAGGGAAGGCATGCTTGAGAAGGATTGACACCGCTAGTCGGCAGTTATTGCCGGAACACTGGCCGACTCAGGCAGAGCCACCACCCGGACGGCACATCACCGTCGCAGACGAGGCTACGTTGCTTGGCCTTAGCATTCAGACGTGCTGAGTGACTGAGAGCGATGCCACAGAGCCCAGCGATACAATTCTTTCTACGGCTCAGATAGGTGTCCGCACGAATATCCGTCTTCTGATCTAGCTTGAGGAGGTTGCCGCTCAACTGTGTGAGACAGTTACGGAGCACTAAGATCTTCGGTTAGGCATGATTTGATTTGTTTCTGGTGTTAGGGTTTTCGGACAGCTCTCCTTTCTCATCCTTCCTCTGGAATTGGGCTTGATGGGCCGAGGCTTACCGAGAATACGTGAGACGGCCACGTGAGCATAACCTCCGTGCGTCAAAAAATGCTCAGTGAAGGCAGATAGCTGTGCGGCTGCAGCAGTCGAAACACTTGTCATGAACACGTGTCACGTGTTTCTAGATCAGTTTTCAGCTTCTGTTTGCCCAAGAGAAGTTGCTCTGTAGCCAACTGGGTGAGCTCAAGTCAAGCATGTCGGTGCATGGACTTTTCGCAAGGTGCACTGCCTTGAGGACCGCGAAATGAGCAGCATGCCCTTCGACCAGAGAGCTTGTTTTGACATGTCTTAGGTCAGACTTTAGTTTTGATATTCGGTCGGAGTAGAGCCAGCCACGCAACTCAAGCACTTCAAACAACTCTTTCTGCAGCAGTGATTTCGGCTAGTCCGTTACAGATCGTGTTATGCAAGTGCATGAGAGATGGCAGGGAGCTGTCCAGGCTTTTCGCTTGGCCACTTGGCATCGCTTGTGTGTCACTGAACTCGGGCAGGCGATGCAGGCGCCACGCGTGGACTTCTGTGGACCCACGCTTGGCCATACGAGCCTAGGGCGGCCTCGGGCCCAAAGCGCGTCAGTGCACCTTGGCCAGCAGGGCATTCAAAGCGTGATCGAGCCCATGATGCTTTCAAGGCTGAGTCACTCCCCCTCCCGACAAGGATACTGTACAGCAGAGTGGCGATAGACTTTCTGTCATTACGAAGAAGAAATCATCAACAAGCACGGCAGTTTCCATATAGATCCAATCTCCTGAGCAACAGTGGGCACAAGTGCACCCAGGAACAGGTTACACCACTCTCGTTGGAGGCCTGCAGCGACGCTTGCCGCGACCTGAGTGCCAGAATTGAAGGATGGCAGTGGCACCGTGGAGGATCATGGAACCTCGAAGCATAGAAGATCAGGGGCTAGGCAACCTGCAAAGTTTGTAAACGCATGTAAACATAAAAGCGTGGCGCTGAGGTTGCGCTGTGTGTCAGCGGCGAGCTTGCCACGGCCAACGAACTAGTCGACTGCTCGAGGACCTAAATTTTATCGGAGAGAAATGCCCACTGTTTGTTCAGTGGGTTTGGCAAGAGGAGCCCAGACTGCTCTGCTCTTCGGCGACAGCTCACGCCTGAGAGACCAGTCACTGTTTTGTAGTTGGCACGGCATGACAAGAGGCCATGCTCCGAGAGAGGCTCCGTTTCCAACGCCTGTGGCTGGCTTACAATCAGAGGACCTGGCAGGAAGTGGGATGAGGATCAGTCTACAAGTCACGCAAACTCTTTGTGAGGTTGCAGCAGTTGTCCGTTAGCATTTCTACTGCCGGGTTGGAAAACGTCTTCGAGTCTTTCCATGATCCTGAAGTTTCAAGCCGACGGATGTCCAGCCTTCCCCTCGCCAGGTATATCTCGCCGCCTCCACTCCCCAAATCTTCCCAAAACAATGCATGGCATGCTCCTCCATCGGCATGCCATGAACTCTCGGCGGAATCGTTTGACATCTTTCAGCAACGACTCATTGCAGCTTTTAGGTGGGGCGCTGTCATCCTCTCTCATCACAGCATATCTGAGTTTTGAGCCGGCAAGCTGCTACAAACGAAACAGTGTGCCGTACTGCCTGCATCGTCGATCTGGGTCGTCACTGCAGCTTTTGCACCTGGCTCCATGGCGATCAACACATCACCAATGTGTGCACATGGATAGCCTCCAGCATTGGTTTCCTTCGCTCAGGCGGGGAGTGCCTACCTGGTACATGGGGAGGTGCAGACTTCCGCCTTGGATTCACAAACGAATGCATGAGTATGACAAGCTTGAGCAGGTCCCGGGCCGCTGAACACAGGCCGCGCCTCAAAACGCGCGCGGTCACAACTGCCAAGTTCTCTTGTCATGTTGTGCTTGTCATGTGCGTTGCTGTGCAGTCTGCTGTGCAGTCTGCCTCTCCAAAAACGCTTGCGCCGTGATCTTCTCGGGCGAGGCCAGGGATGGCCAGGGCTATCAGGCGGCGGATGCCAGCGGGGGTAGGGCCCCGCGCTAGGCCCCGCAAGGCCGACACCCGCCATTTTGGAGCCTGGCCTTTCTTGTCGTGCCAATCAAAACGAAGACCAAGCCGGTATGGCAAGGTTCTTGGACTTGCAGCAGATGTACCTGTTAGGCTTACATGCTGATGACAACAAATTACCACAGTATGCATCTGGGTTTTGGTGGGGACAACCCGAGGATACCCGCGTGAAAATGTAGAAGACGCCGAGATAAGAGCCACGTTATTGCTCCAGGCGCTACGGTTACAATGCATCCAGGGATGGGAAAGACTCCGAACAAGGTGAAAGAACTTTAATGAGCTGACTCCGCTTGCAATCGCAAGCTTGGCTGTGCGACTGCTCGCTGCGTCCCAGTGACAAAGCGACGCTTCGGCGAAGCCGACGCGAGGTGGAGCTGGGAGCATCCGAAAGACGCTGAGAAACCCTGCCGGCCGAAGCAGCGACGTAACGCCTGCCAAGCGCTAAGCGTTTGCAAGAAGCCGAAGGGCTGCAAGGTGCTGCCAGGTGTGGAAGGTGCAGAGGCTTTGGAGAGTTTGAAGGCGAACTTCACGTCTGAACGCTGGGAAATTCCATGTCCTGCATCGGAGCGGCGGAGCGGTTAGACTCTGAGCTCCAATCTGGTCGAAGCGCGTATCGTAAGTTGACCCTTGACGAGCATATGCGAGCAACTTGGCAACCTGATTTGCACTTTGGCCTGGCACAGGACAGTTGTGACTATGGGCCAGAAAACGATATGAGCATCCCATTCATCTTCCCCTTTGGGAGGCAGAATCTGTCAAGCTGTCCTCTGCATTCACTGCAAGATGATACATCCATTGTCCCATTCCGCTGCAGGTGTGTTTGTGATCCTGGCGATGGCCTTTTGTGGCCAACGGCACCTGGAATGCGCTACCCTTACGTTATGCTCCTGTCATCTCCTGTCATCATGTTCGATGATATAGTACTTGTACAATATAGTACGCAGCCAGTACATGTCGAGGGGCTTGCCTTGCTACAAGGGCTGGTTGTGGCCTCTTTGGATTTCCTTTCTACCGAGATTTGTTGATGGACGCGCCCTTCCCCTCCGCCCTTCCCTGCCCACATGTGTTCAGTCATGTGTGCTGGGCGACTTGCTGGGATAGATCACGGAAGTGGTTTGTAAGGTGTGCGCAAGTGACACTCCGCCTAGCGAACGGGCTGGGGCAATACGAGGACTGAGAATGGTGCAGCGATGCGTTCTGAATTCGTCTGTCAAATTGTCGTGGAGGTCCAGCAGTGCTCCTCTCGCACATGTGAAGCTGCCACCTGCACGCCTTTGGCACTTTGGTCCCCGGTTCGCTCCTGAAGTTGGAACAAACAGCATCCGGGTGCCCGGGTGCCCCACTGCCTACATGAACTCGTACACAACTCGTATGCTTGCGGACTGCTGGAGTCAAGGTCCTCACGCAGACGTCTCGAAACGCGAGTTTCACTTGCCAGACGACAGGCTTTGATTTGATGACCGGAGCTTCGAGCTGGTGCGAGATGCGAGCAGGTGAAGACGCCGTGCACCTCTTGGATGACTGCAATGTCCTGACCAGCCATTCCTGCCCTGCTTAGTCGATGAATCTTTCTTACTTTTCCTTGCTTTCCGCAGTGCCAGGTCGACTTTCGCCTTCGTCCTTGTGTGGCCATGCAGGGTTCACCGCAACAAGCACCGTCTTCGATGCCTTAGGCACGCAGGAAAGAGAGAGAGAGAGAGAGAGAGAGAGAGAGAGCTCACTTTTCAGCTTTTTCGAAGCCTGACCAACCCCCGAAGCCACAAACGCAGTATCCCTCAACAGGGGGGAAAACGCAAGGTGCGTGCTGAACGATGCTAGCACAGTTTAGGCAATGTAGTTGTGAGTTGGCTTGTTCACGATACGGCCGCACCTCGCCGAAACTTTGGGACCTTGCAGCAAAGCCCGCCTAGAGGGACTAAGGATCGTAACTGGTAGCCGTAGGGGCCCGGAGACGAGGCCGGGATGCGCGGGGGTTCTAGTGTTCTAGCTGGGCTGCCTGCACGGAAACAAAGAACACACTGCGTAGTTCCCTGCAATAATCACGAAAGACCCCGTTGCCAGCCACTCCATAGCACAGGGGGTGAGCTGGGCGGGCCTATGGCCTGGGGGGCGCGCGCGACCCCTACGCCCTGCAGAAAGAAAGAAAGAGAGAGAGAGGAGAGAGAGAGAGAGAGACAGTACAGCCCTGGCGAAAGAGAGAGAGAGAGAGAGAGAGATTGTGGGAACCGGTTGCTGCAGGGACTAAGGATTTTGCCTTAGAGGGCGCGGGGACGAGGCCGGGACGCGCACTAGTGCTCAGGGTCACGGGATGGCAGCACCCGGAAACCGCTTTCGTACAGGCCTTCGGGTTGAAGATCAATCCAGGGGACCCCAGAGCCTCTGCTCTCTGAACCTTAAGACGGTGGGGGCGCTTAGGGCGCGGGTCCAGCGCCCTGGACCGTGACCCGCAGCAAGCAAGCAAGCAAGCAAGCGAGAGAGAGAGAAAGAGATGCTCGGGGGATATCGGGGGTAAAGCAAAACGAGAAAGATGTAAAAAGAGAAAGAGAGTGAGAGTCCCCTCAACCAGTGCGAGATAGTGCGAGCATGCGCACGGGGGGTGGTGGTGACGCGACGCCTCCTCTTGGCTTGGGTTTGGGGAGCTGAGGGTTTCATTAATCACGAAAGCTAGCTCTGTTGAGCTCGCGGGAGTTGCCCTTTAGCAATTTTCACTTGGTCTACCTTGTATTAAGGCACTAGGGCAAAACCAGGGATAACCAGGGCTTACACCTTATCAGGTGGGACGTCCAAGAGTTAAGGTGGGGGGGTGGGGGGGAGGAGGGGCCGCCCCCCCCCCTCACCTCGCTCATGCATTTTGAAGAGACAAGGTGTGTTTCCCCCCCCCCGCCTCCCCCCTCAAGGTTGCGGCGCGTGGGACAAGGTGGGGGGGGGGGGCCCCCCCCCCCCCTACCCACAGGTCCCCCCCTCCCCCTCCTTC